GAACTTAGAATTGATAAGTTGGAATTGTTGGAAATTGGGTTATGTTGATTTAATTGGAATTGTTGTATTGGAATTAATATTGGTTATTTGATTGGTTTAGTTGAGTTTGCTTCCGCTGATGTTGAATGGTGCCCTTAGACGACGCATGGGAGTCGAATCTCACAATTAGATTTGTCTTATTAATTTTTGAAGGATTTGAAAGTTTCTGCAGAAATACTCCTAAACGATAGATCTCAATAGATTTTTTATTAAGCTGTTAGAAAGCTGTTGCAAATACAACTGTTTGTTAATAGAATTTTGGGTCTCTTCTTTGAAGGATGTACATGAGTATTTTTACAAGTTTAGGTCGGTTAGGAGTAAACCCAAACAATGAAGGAAAACTTATTTATTCTTAGGATTTTTCTTCATTCGCGGATGTTTCTAAGTCGGCTAGTCTTTATGGGCATTCGTCTTGGGCTTGCTCTTATGATATTTTCTGCTTTGGCTCGGCCCCTTTGTTTAAAGGTCGTGGACATGCCCATAGTTGGCTAAACGGATCAATGGCTCGTCGCGCAGGGCCCAACATATCGTCGCACAAGGCCCATCAGTCCGCCGCTATAATGATCCATTGGCTCGCCGTTATAGCCCAACAGATCATCACGTGAGGTCGAACTGGTTCCCTGGTTTAAACTGCATTTCACCGGTTCAAAAAGTCGGCTTGTCGGTTCGCCGGTTCACATGCTCCTAATGCGGCTCACTGGTTCCCAAGATTGCGGCTCGCTGGTTCACCAGACTACGGTTTGTCGGTTTGTCAGTTCATATTGCGGCTTGCCGGTTTAGTCTATGGATTGGCTTACTGTCTCTATACTTACTCTTTTTCAGTTTGTTGATTTTTCTGAGTGGAATTTGACCCCAACAATATTCGTACTTTTGTATCCTTTTGAGAACTCTTATGCTAGGGAATACGAAGAGGAACTTGTTGAAGAAAGTGATAATTAACCATTCTTATGTTATGATTTATGGACCAAATATCATGGGTGTTGTAAAACTCTTTTATCATTTATTCTTTTTGTTCGAGTTTTTAATTATTTGCTTCTCTACAAATTTTGGATATTAGATGTTCTCTGGTAATTTGATTTTGATTTGAGCTTGGAAGAATGTTTTTGTGTATTGAATTGATACTTCACTTACAATTATTCCTTAATCTATGATGTGTATTGTTTGTCTGTCATGTTTTCCATTCTCATTGTGTTTCATTTTTTTTCTGAGAGAGCTAGCAGAACGATCAAGTAAAAGAAGATGAACTAATTGTTGATAGATTTTTTGTGGACAACAAGTACAGGTACAACATATGCTATGATGAGGGAAAAGACCAATAAACTACAAACGAATGGATGCTTATTAGAGAGAAGAGAGTGGAAGGGGGTTGTGGTCTCGAAAACATTGATCATAACACAATTTTCATTCGGGAGCTTGGAAAGGCTTGAAATCTTTGAGGCTTTGTATGAGTCCTTGCACAGATCCAACTGCAGCAACGAGGGAGACGAGGAAACAAGTCCAACTTAAGATTTTTAACCAAGTCCAAGTGAAAGAGTATTTCCTTATCTTCTTCTGAGCAATATGCATTTCAATGGGAAAGTAAACAGTTAAAGGCCAGAAGGAAGCTGCTCCAATAAGACCCAAGAAATCGTTGAAGAAAGGGAAGATCATGGCTACAACTGCGGTGACCACAACATATGATGTCCTCCAAACCAATCTAAAGAAGTTGATACTGAAATCACCATAGCAAGGGGCGTGGACTTTGTATTCTCCTCTGATGAACTTGTTGTCTGGCCAATGTTTTGCGCTTTGGCTTTCAACAAACTGGAAAATGGGTTGACAAAAGACCTGGTAGGCGCCGACTAGATGAACCGCGATACACACATTGGCAAAGTCTATTAACCAGAAGGGCTCATAAAAACCAAAACCGGTAAGGAAATTTCCCGGTGCGTCATTACCAAAGGCAGCGTAACCAACACAACCACATAGCATGTAGAAGAAGGTCGTTGTGGAAACACCTAAAAGACTTGCTCTTTTCATAGATTTGTTCTCTGATAATGGACCTGCTTTCAGAGTGTCCTACAATAATTTAGAGAGAAAACAAATTATTACTAGGTTAGTAGATGTAAAAGAAATCAACAAACAAAAGTAATCGCACTAAACTGAAGCTGTTCTTCTATGAATTACTTAATGAAAAAATTTATCCCTTTAAATGAAATGACACATGTGATTTAATATGTTCGATTAAGTAATTGAGGTTTTTTTTTTACCTCGTAAA